GACGACTTAGGCGGGGCTATTCAATGGATTATTATGAGAGAGAAAGTCGGACTTTGACTTCCATGTCGAACTACGCGCAGTTGACGAGTGTAAACGAATGACGACATATGCGGAGGATTTTAACTGTAGTTGCGAGCGTCAATGGAACAACGTAGAATATACAAAAGACGTGAACGTAGTGAGATTTTGCAAACAAAATACAATAGAGTTAACAGACTCCTAAAGTTGACGTAAGTCAACTATACGGCCATAATCTGTAGGGGGACCCAATAAAAAATTAAGAAAATAACATGCGTATCGACAACCTCTATGCACTTAAATATTACAACTAATGCAATCAATAACATGTAATAGAGAGATAATTCGTGTGTGTAAGCACCAAATGGAAATAATAGTCAGTGATGGAGAATAGGTGGAATTTCATAATCGATTATCGTTCCCTTAAGCGATGATACGAATTATAAATCGATTATCGTGGTTAATAAAGCTATAGATTAAATTAGAATCTTACTGTTGTATACAGGGGCGGTGCCACGGTTTCACAAAGTGGGGGCAATGTGAGAGAAACGAAGCGGACCTAGCAGGGGGGGGGCTGAGGTTATTAGGAAGCGCGAAGGGCGCCGAGCGAGGAGCCAGGCGACCCGAGCGGGGGTGGGTGTGGAGGGGATCCCCCTCCCACGGCAGGGAGCTTTCTTCATTTGCACGAAATGCTGAGGCGGAATGCTTAGTCAACATGAAGGAGAAATTCAGAATTTATTAAAGAGAAGAAAAACGGAAAATAGACAGCGGTTTCTTCCCAGCCACGTCTATGTATACATAGTCCACTATAGTGAAGCGTATATATATGTTGCACCAAAGATCATGGAATACTTCGTAAAGAGAATAAGATATGAAATAGTGAATCTTTTCAGGCGTACAGAAGATTTCCATTCTTCAACCTGAGTAAAGTCAACAAATAGACATTGCTGGAATGATATTAAAGCACTTATGGAACATCACTCGACTAGCTTTTACTTTAGTCTATCTTCATAGTGCCGTGACAAGCAGTTTGCCGTTGAAAAACTCCGAAGCTGCTAGATAACATAGAAGAGATACAGTCAACTAATTTAATTGAATTAAAAAGACTTGAGGACTAAAGTGCAAACTAAACGAAAAGAATAAAAGGACTATATAATAATAACTATAAAAACTAGAGCGCTCATAGGTCTATTGTCCTCCGCAGGTTGACTGCCAGGAACGTACCCCTGGTACGGGCTCCGGAGACCGGCTCTGCGTTATCAGCGTGCGTTTAATGTAGGCTCTCGTCTGATCGCGTGACTTAAACCTGTGCGTGATCGCAGTGCGTATGCAGTGGTAGAAGTACAATGTGTGCATATCAGCACAATAGCTAGCTTTATATATGGGGGGGGGGGTAAGTTTTGTCAATGTTGGCAAGTTTGCTAGGCCAGGGGCCGTGTACAGGATTTGTACGAGGAGGGTCTAAACCGTAACCCAGAAAGTTGCGAGGCAACGCGAAGGGGGCCCGTGTCTGGGGGCCCTCCCCCAACGAAAAATTTTTCCAAATTAGACCCTCTCATATGGCCGTTTTCCGTCGCCGAGGCAGGGGGTCCGGACAAGGGAGCCAAGCCGACGAGCGGGGATGGGTGTGGAGTGGTGTTCAACTGTTCACCCCTCACCGCACGAGACAGATTTTGGCAGTCATCTACACTAAAGGAGCGACGGCTGAAGTGAAATTCTTGGCAAATTTCAAAAAAAAACTTTTGCTTGGGGAGGGGGAGGGGTCGTTCGAACCCCCGAACCCCCGGCCTAGGCCTGCATATGCAAGTACGTACTGATATTCGGACCACGATCGAAGCTCCGAAGCATCAGGACAAGCCCCGAAAGTCCGCACGGTCATTGGGTAAAACGGCGCCTGGCATGGTGCTGTTGCTATAGAGTAAAAGGCTAGAGGACATCCCAACTGTTGTAAATTTTCGACAGTAGGCAGAGATGAAAATGTGGATAAAAACTCTTGCTTCGCTACGTTTCCCGACCTTCCTCTCCTCCTTATTCCGCGTCTTTCTTATTCTTGCAATTTCTTTCCCATCATACAAAATACATAATAGACATAATATTTTCGCCAAAAAAGTGGTCGGGTGGCCCGGGCCCCCCCGGCCCCCCCCCACCATACGCGCCGCCCTTGGTACAATAGATACAGTTACATAGCATTCAATTATTTCATGTTTTATGATCATGTATTAACTCTGTGAAGGTTGCTGTATGTATATTAATGTCTGTTCCTATACAGTATTTAATCAATTAAAAAAGAAATGGTTTAAATGCCTTTATTAAAACATTAAAAGTTTTAAACAAACATGATCAAGAATTGTTCTTTATTATAGTAAGTAAGTTGTTTGTGTTCTGATAGTGTAGGCTGCAGGCATGAAAATGACCGGTAAAGAAAAACACTGAAAACCCCCGAGGCGGGAGGGGGGGGAACCCCCGAGGCGGGGGGGGGTACCCCTCCCACGCTAGGGAGATTTTTTAATTTTGGGGGGTCAGAATCAGAGGCGCTGGAATTGGGGGGGCGGCCGCCCCTCCAATCCAAAAAGTGGGGGGCAAAACCAAAAAGCCCCACCCAAAAAAGAAGAGTGGGAAATAAAAAATAAAATGTATGAGCTAAGAATTGTTACAGTAATTATAACGTTCAAAAACTAATTTATACATCCATTTTAAGTTTTCGCTGCACGCTTTGCGTGATTGACGCTCACGTCGCACACACGCGCTCACGCACACACATCGCACACACGCGCTCACGCACACACGTCGCGCTCACGCACACACGTCACACACAGGAATTATACATTCACACACATTATGCGTCACACACATTATAAAAATAATATAGATATATATATATATAGATACAGTTATCTATATTATTTCTATGGGAAGCACTTACTAGTCTAGCTGGACTGGCACAGGCTGCCACAATGAGAAGACCAGCCAGCAATAGCACGAGTAGCACCCTCATGTTGTGGCGACGCACCTGCAATGACTTCATTATTATAAGTAAATCCATTGTCACCGTGCTTCAATTTGTCCATATTTATTATTCTGTGTAATGCCCGTTTCGTGTCCTCTCGGCGTATTATTATTATTATTATTATTATGATTACCATGCTTCATCCCTCCTAGTCTCCTAACCGTAAGATTTAATTTAACAACAATAATAACATTTGCATACCAGGAAACCTCCCTCAAACACACTAACACTGTGAAGGACGTGACAACAAGTCCAGTCGCAACGCACGCCAAACTAACTGCTATCTATATCATCAAGAGCTAATAATACCTTATTATTAGCTCTTGATATCATCGCAAAACGAAACGCTTGCCTTATTTCACGAAAATAACACGTATATATGCACAGGGTTCATAGTAGTAAGACACATGTTAAAATAAGGGCTAATAAGACCCTTTCTGGAGGCCAAAATAAGACTTTTTTACGCGATTTCTGGTAGATCACCAACTATTAAAGTACACTAATAATATTTATATACACAATTGCACAGCAGATTTCATTATTCCGTATTATATATACAACAATTCTTACTCTAAGTCGAGAAAAAATAAGGACTATTAAGTACTTTTCTAAGATTTCACCAAAAATAAGTACTAATAAGGGCCCTTATTTTATTTTTGGCAAAATAAGTACTTATAAGACTTTGGAAGACCCGCTACGAACCCTGATGCACAACAACGTCCACAACAGCAGTTCCCACGGTGGTAGGGCAGTGAGCGAGGGTGAGGAGGGCGGTGCAACTTTTAAACATCCGATCCTAACAACACACACAGCTGTGCTCATGCTAGATATATACCCTGCTGCAGCATCCCAGCTTCCTTGACCATGTGTGCGATGCCAAAATTGTTTGCATAGCAGGGTAGCAGCTTCTATTCTGTACATGCTATGAGTAATCCAATGATGTGGTAGCCTGGGGCAGTATAAAGTGGGACTGCAGAAGTTAACTTTAGTTAACTTGTCCGCCGGCTTACTTGTCTACTGCTTGCTGTTCCCTCCTGCTACTGCAAAATTTATTATTAAGCTTATTATAATTATACGGCACTGCTGATGTTTCGCTGGAGCTGGGGAAATCCCCAGACTGAGTCCTGACTGCTGCTGTTGCTACTGCTGCTGCTGCTGCTACTGCTACTGGGAGGAACTGGTGGGGAAATCCCCAGGCTGAGTCCTGACACTGGCTAGAGCCTCCGGGTTCTACTTCTAGGTGTGCCTCAAGACGACGACGACGACGACTGTTGCTGCTACTGCTGCTGCTGTTGCTGCTGCTACTGTTGCTGCTGCTACTGCTGCTGGGAGGAACTGGTGGGGAAATCCCCAGGCTGAGTCCTGACACTGGCTAGAGCCTCCGAGTTCTACTTCTAGGTGTGCCTCAAGACGACGATGACGATGACGACTGTTGCTGCTGCTGCTGTTACTGTTACTGCTACTGCTGCTGTTGCTGCTGCAACTGCTGCTGGGAGGAACTGGTGGGGAAATCCCCAGACTGAGTCCTGACACTGGCTAGAGCCTCCGGGTTCTAGGTGTGCTTCAAGACAATGACGACAGCATAACCTGCCTCCTCTCCCTACAGTTACATTGTACTGCCCTATTCCTGGTAAAATGAAAGTGGCAATGACACTGTAGCTCACCTTGGGTGTGATAGAAGAGGGAGGGGGGGATATATAAAGCAAGAGTATATATGGGAGAACTCTCATTATAATATAGCATATCTCCAATTATATACTCTTGATAATGATGATATATGAGTAATTTTTGATGCGAAAATAAATGTTTCAGATCTGTTGGCATACAATCTGATGGCGTTGACCGTAGGCAGACACTGAAATGCAGTGAAATTGCCAAAATCTACCTAATTTGCATAATTTAAAAAATATATAAAAACCTGTGTGATATGTTTTGGGGCCAGTCCTTAGTCATTCACATACCAGAATTGAGCAAAATCCGTTGAACCTGAACCGACTTATGGCCATTTCCATTTTTGCCAAAAAGTTGACGTCGCTCGAAAGTAGGTCTACTGGCGTGCTCCAAAATAGGACATTCAAACCTCTCTCATAGAAGTAACAACTCTATGCAATTTGAAACATGTGGGTCAAACGGTTCTTGAGTTATCGTTGACCGTAGGCAGACACTGAAATGCATACGGGAATTGCCGAAATCTACCCGATTTGCATAATTTTTTTTAAATATAAAAACCTGTGTGATATGTTTTGGGACCAGTCCTTATTCATTCACATGTACCAGAAATGAGCAAAATCCGTTGAACCTGAACTGACATGGCCATTTCCATTTTTGTGAAAAAGTGGACGTTGCTCGAAAGTAGGTCGACTGGCGTGCTCCAAACTAGGACGTTCAAACCTCTCCCATAGGAGTAACAACTATATGCAATTTGAAACATGTGGGTCAAACGGTTCCTGAGTTATCGTTGATCGTAGCCAAATGTTGACGGATAGATGGACGAACGAGCGGATGGACGGACATACGACGGACGACACCCCCTGGCAATAGCTCATCTTAACGATGTCAAAGTGAGCTAAAAAATCACCAACCCCTGCTACAGCTACAGTGCCCTGCCTCCACCAATTGCTACAGCCATACTACATTGCCCCCACCCCCTGATACCGTTACAATGCCTTGCCCCACCCTCTGCTACAGTTACAATAACTTGCCCCCACACCCTACTAGAGTTACAATGCCCTGCACCACTCTAACCAACTACAACATGTACCCTGCTCTGCTCCCAACAGATACAGATAGCTACAGTTCCATTAACCTACTCTAAACTATGTTTACAGTTACACATCCCTGCTCAGATTCTAAACTGTATCTACACCTACACCTAGTCGATCTACGTTACAACATCTTCATCAATGCAGTGCAGAGTCTGGAGTCTATGGGCCTGTTTGCTTGGGACGAATTCGTCAGATCAGAATCACTTGATCCGAACCTGCTCAATCAAACGCACACTCACTTTGCAACGGATCACGTTTCACTGTGACCTATCACGGGATGGTTTATAACAAACAACAAGTAGTGATTGGCTGGGGCGCACACCGCCATATCGAATCCCCTGCGAATCTACCTCGCTAGCAGGTTCAGGAATTTGTGATCTGCATCACTGATCCACCCAAACAAACGTGCCAGATCAAACATGATCCGACAACACAAATGCGCTCTATACTATAGTGCAGGCCTCGATGCTTATTTTCAGATCTGGTTGTGCTGTCAGGCAACAAGAAGCAATTTTTACTTGTCCGAATTTTGATTTTACTTGTCCACAATTCACTTGCAATCTATGAGCCGATAAGGTCCTCTTTTGGGTCAGTGCATAATGCATATCATATTACCAGGAGTATATACTATAGAGATCTATAATATATAAATAGATATATTAATATATATATATATATACATATATAACATATATAGATAGATATATAGGTAGATATATATCTATATTATCAGGAGTAGATAATAGGGAAGGAGTGTGACATCAATAAACAAGGGAAATTCGTCATTTATTAGCCTTATAATACCTACGATTTACTACGCGTAACTCATCCAACTTGAGCTCAAATCGTACACAGTACATTCGTCTAGCATCGTGCGAAATTGTTTCCTCGTTTACACAAGCAATCCGGAGATACAGACTAAAACATACGACACGATTGTCCATTCTTTGGCCATCAATCCAAGTACATTGCCCGCCTCTATTAAAACAAGTGCCGCGGAGCGACAGCGCTCATCTAACGTCTACTGCGGTGACTCTGTGGTGGAGTGGTGGGATTCTAGTAAACCCTGTTAGTCCCAAATGTGTTCACATACACGCCGAAACAGTGGAATGCACAGGGATGGTATCAGGAACCTTCTCAAAGGAATGTTCGTTGGGATCGTTACGAAAGTTGCCACGAGATGGCGCGTATGTTTAAGTGT